GCGACTTAACTTTGAAGATGGCTTTTATCCATTGTCTACACTGGAGAAACTGTTGAATTACTATGTGCCACAAATCTGCGTCTGGTTTTTTGGAGACTTCTGGACATATGCCTTGGACCAGGGCCGTAAGCACTGCGAAAACTTCCGCATTGTCAGTCCATATTCTACATGTCCGCTGGCACCGGACGCTGATTTTGAGGCATGCCAACACAGCAAAAATCTCCGCCCGCAGGCTAGTTTGTTTCCAGCCTGGGACTCCTCCAAGTGAAACAGGCCAAAAACCATCCCCAGTCCATTCAACAACTCCCCAGCTTGAGACTCGCAGCGTCGCGTCCGCCGGGTAAATGCAGCTTCCGTCAGAAAACAAGTCTTGATATTCTAGCCTGCAAGATGCCTGCGGTGGCACCATGTATGTTCCAGTCGTGTCTGGGATGTCCAAAAGGCATCGGCGCAGCTCTGGTAAATCCTGGGACTGTGGCATCCATCCATGATTGAGCAAGCAAGGTTCGGCCGTGGCCTCCAGGCCAGAAATGTCAGGATACTGTTTGCGGATGTCTGCAAAGTACTCACATTCCCAGTGGCGATGTCTGCCACTGTCCGGTTTTTTACAGTATTGGCACTCTGAGCTGGCTACTAAACCAGTATGGACCAGAGCATTGTTAGTGAACTGTGTGCCATTGAGTGCACACCGCATGAGTCCGAAGTTACTTGCTGGCAAGCTTTGCATGCAAAGCTGTGTCAGTCTCGCATCGGCATTTTGCAGGCCTTTCATGGTCTTCCTATTTTCGGCAGTGATACCAAAAACTTTGTGTTGCCATGCTTCAAGTAAACGATTATACAACTCTTGTTTGGGACAAGTGAGGATGTTGCATGGAATGTTTAAATGGTCTTGACAAATTCCCCCTTCCTTCCATCGCCAAAAAATCTTCTCTAGGACTCTGACAAGACTACAGCATGGACCCGGGGTCAAGCTTGCCCCTTCATTGACCTGATGCAAGACATACTCTGACATGTCTTCCAAAGTGCAATCCCTGAAGGACATGACAGTGGCAACAACACAGTGGAATTCAGGGTCAGCTTTGGCATTGCTGATGCACGACAACTGTAACATCGGAGATAAACCATTCTGGGTATAATTCAGTGCTCGACACGCTTGGGTTCTCAACTTCTCGAAGTGTACCTTTCCCATGGTTACGGTGCATACCCCATAGAAAAGGTTGGGCCATGCTGCCACCACAAGTGCACGTTCTTTTTGAGAAGCTGTTGCGAAGCTCCTGCATAAGCGTTGCCAGAACGGTGCGAACTGTGCAATCTTCTCCTGCAGTGTACAGTTGGTTCTGAGTTTGGTGTAGTTAAGATGCCCTCCAAGATCCCTTGCAAACAGTTTACCTGCAAACTCACTGTCACGGATCATTTTCCTACCTTCAGCAGTATTGCTCCAGATGTACGATTTGTCAAAATCAATCTGAAGGTCCATCAAAGCGCAAAACTGACTAAGGACTTCTAGTGATTGGATGGCATCAACTGTGCGATGTGCTAAAGTTTCGAGGTTATCCACGTAACTCCATGTTTGGACTCTGGGGAGTCTGTGGAGCATGAAAACTTCACATGCAACATTGCAGATTGCCATAGCTACCACACTCATTGCGTCTCCCTCCGGAAACCCTGTGGAGGAGTCAATTGGTCTGCCAATGGCTCCTCTGACCTGAAATCTTCTTTCAATCTGCGCCAAACACTGTTTCCATGCGATGATGACTTCACTTGGCAAACCCAGGTGTTCAGCCAGTGCCAGCAGCGGATGCCTTGGCAAGGTATTGAAACATTTAACCAAATCAGCGACGCTGCCTGCTACTTCCGTGTTTTGGGCATATGCATACTCTATGGCTTGTTGAACTCGAAACCATAGCTGCTTTGGTGACCTACCCGGTATGTTTCCCAGGAGGGTTGTTGGTACCAAAGTGGCAAGGTATTTCAGGCACTGGCGTGCTCGTATTGATCCCCAAACACGCAAGAACAAAGGAAAAATGCAAATTGGTCTGAACTGGTTGGTGGTCTGTGCCTGTGGTGTTTTGGCCAGGGCGGCAACTATACCTGTGACCGCTTGGGACGGCCATCTGTGACCACCCTCAATTTTGTTAATGAGGTGCAACATGTCATCCACTATACAGTCAGGCATATTTTGCATATCATGTCTTGACACTCCATCTGGTCCGATGGCTGCGTATTTTTTCTTTTTGGCAACAGTGCGTCTCCAAAGCTCTCTTGTAATTGGGGGAAACGAAACTTTTTGGGCTGGGATTGCAGTTTTTAAGAAGTCTAGGATAGTTTCCCATGTCTCAGGTGGCACTTCATCATGTTTCTTCCATCTCGGTGCCCATTCATCCTCAAAAGCTTTGATGATAGTGGTTACGTCTCCTACTACCTTTGTGCATTTGAGCTGATTTCCACACTTGCTGGCAATTTCTGTTGGCAACTGCACATGGTGTGGATCAACAATACATGGTTGTACGTTGATCTCATTAACATGAAATTGATTTGACCCCTCTGGGACTGGGTCGGCAAGCGATAGTTCTGTCATGGTTTCACTCACCTTTGCGGTGGCCGTGATCTTCAGATTGTGAGCAGCGATGATGGTTTGCACTGGTTCAGCTCGTTCTTTCTGAAGGTCTCTGTAGATTAGCAGGGGGTCTCTTGACCTCCTTTCGGTGGCATGTTGGATTCTGGTCTGTTGGAGGCTGGTCTCAAGTGTCCTATAATGGTGGGTAAGCTCTACAAACACTGCATTCGCAATCTCAAAGCCTGGTGGGATCGTCGGGATTACATTGGGACTATTGAGAAATACTTTGTAGAGATTTTTCCACCACAGCAGGAAACCTTCAGGAAAACCTGTGGCATTGAGTATGGACCTCCAGAGCAGGGCTTGATGGTCGGGGGACTTGGCTTCATTGTCAGAGGCGACAAATCGAGTGTAGTGTTGCAATCTTCTGACCTGCTTGGTCCATCTGGAGTGCTGCAAATTTGTGGTGGTCAACTGCGATTGTATGTCACCACTGCGGTTTGGTTTGACCGGGGCAATCTCATTCATGACCATTTTGGTCTCAAAGGTGGTGGCTCTTCCCAACTGACATTTGAGTGGGGGCGGTACTTCAGCCGCTTTGTGCACGGCTTTGGCATATTCTTCGGTATTGGTCCAGATGTTTTTGTACCATGTGTCCATGTCATCTGACATTTCTGAGGGCTGATTCCACTCCACTTGGTCCTTGGGCTTTGGCCATGGCAAAGTTTTGGGTTTTCGCCACATAGGGACTTTGCATGGTTTACTCAAGTCACTTAGGAAAACTTTAATGACCGCATGGTCAGAGAAAAAGGACCAATCTAGCTGGATATCTTCGACGAAAGGGATTATTTCGGGGGATAAGTAAAGATAGTCTCGGACTGTGGCCCGTTTGCAAGTTGCTTGAAGTGGGTGATTCCATTTGAGCATAGCGAGTTGCTGAGCTTCCATCCATCCTTTGGCTTCCCAATAGTCAGCTTGTGGGATCTGTTCTCTTGGTAAATTCCAATCTCCTGCTATGACACGGAGTCCTGTCGCTCCATCAACAATACGGCTTGTGAGGCCTTCTAGAAGCCTTCCTGTGTTTTGTTGAACTTCGATCGATTGACGATTTTCGCTAAAGCCGTAAACTGTTCCCATTGTTATCCATCGATGCTGGACAAACGCTGCTGCTGCTAAACAACGACCTGTTTGGAAATCCTCTGGCGACCAACAGTGAGAGATGCTTCGACACGGGTAGCTACTGAGGTAACCTACTCCAGTGTGACGGCCTCCTATGGTTCGGAGGGATCCATTTTTTGGTGGAGCCGGTGCTCCATGGCAAAGGTGGTACTGGCTTTTGCGCCAGGCAAGCTCTTGGCGGAATTTCGTGATCCCCGGTCCTGTCAAGTGAGTTTCTTGGATTGAGTATACCCCTTGCGGCATGCTTTCCAAGTCTACACTTTTGCCCATTAGACCTGTGGGGTTCATGTTGCCAATTACAGGGCCTGGCACGGCAGCTTCCCCAATCCTAAAGGATGTTGCAAAGAAACAAATTAAGATGCACAAACTTCGGTGCAGGTTTCGAACCACCTTGTGTTTGGCAGGTGGATATTGGAATGCAAATGGCTGTGGACATCGAAAGGCAAAAACCTGTTGGTTTGCTGGCTTGTCCTCACCATAATTATGACAGTGCTTCATGTTGGTTAGTCACTCATGTCGGCCTCGTTTGCTGAACAAGGCCTCGATCTTTTCCATCTGCGCAGCTAGCTTCATGTCCAGAGAGGCATTGAACTGTTGGCCCTGGGCTTCCAGTTGGTTTTGCATGGTGTTGATCTTGGAATCCATTCCAACCTGATGTGCATGTACCTGTTGGATCTGCTTTTCAAGCTGGGCGACTCTCGATTCCATGTGATCTGCCTCCATGGAAACATCACCGTCATGCTGCTTGGCTTGAATGGCTGCGATGACTCTTTTTTCCACATTGGCCTCAATCGTGGCAATCTGGGCTTGGCTTGGTGTGGTCGTGGTCGATGAGGTCTGCTTGGTGGGCTGTGAGGCTGCACTACCATTCCATGGGTCATGTTTGAGCCATGGGTCTTCGTTCTGCTGAAGGTGCTCGGTTGTCTTCCTCGATGCAACGATGTTCACCGGAGCAGCTTTGACTGGGCTTCTCTCACGGAGTCTGGTGATAAGCACATCCCCATGTTGCAACGTATAGATCCAATGTGAAGGATCTTCAACTGCCTGGATGGTCCATGTGATGCCTGAGCTGTCAGCAGCCCTCCCTCTCGGTTGAAGGGCCCTCGCATCCCATCCCCATGTTTTCAGCAGCTTGGAGATCGATTCTTTGGTTGCTGCAAAAGGCATGGGTCCCATGGTGTACAGGGCTTTTTTCTGGCCCATCAGCATCGGCGTGTCTGGCCTGTGCTTGTCATGAATGGCTTGTGCATTGTAAGTGTCACTTCGTAGGCCAAACCTGTCCCCGTGCCTCGTCAATGTGGTTGCGAAGGGGGATGTCTGTTGTGCGAACTGGGCATCCTGGTATGACATCTTCGATAGCCATGTCACGTGATGGTCAGGACATGGATACCGTCCGCAGTGGGTACGTGGCTCGTAATAGATTCCTTGCTGCCCACTTTTGTTGATTAACTCATCAGCATGTTTGGCCATCATCCTGAAAGAGAAAACAAAAATCTCAGCCACTGCCGGCTTCAATTTTTCAAAACGTTTGGACAACCACTGCCTGTCCCACACATCGATTACAATGGACTGTTCACCTTGTCCTTTTGGTGCCAGGATTGGTTCTTGGGTGAAGATTCCCTTGACCGGCTGTTTTTGGATGTCTTGCCATAGCTGTCCAGCCTGGTCTTGGAAGACTAAGCAGCGGATGGTCTTTGTGTCATGTTCTTCAACTGCCAATTTGACCGATGGTTCAAACCTCACAGCTGGCTGAGCCCCCATTTGGTAGAGGTATCCGGATGCAATCAGTGGCTCTTGCGTCACAAGGCATAACGCTGGAAAACGGATTGGCTCAATCGTGTGCAAATTGGCGTTGGTCTTGGTGGCCAACACAATCACTGCGAGTCCATGCGGAGTGACCGGGCTTTGGAGTCGGAAAAGTGCTTCTGATTCTCCCTGATCTACCAGAACAACCCCTTGGCAGGAGCTTCCAACGTCATTGATTCCAAGTGGGCCCAGAATGTGGCCATCTTGTTGCTTAAAAACTCCTTGTGGTACCTGGAGATCGGATGCTCTGAGGTTCGGCAGGTCATTAGTGGGAGTTTGCTTTTTGCTGTGCTTTGATGGTAGCTTGGTACCATAGGCTCTTTTGTGATCGGCTCTGGCAGCGATCTGTGCATTGAGTTCATCTTGCTGGATGAGTTTGATCATAGGTTGGGCACTGTTGGCGGCCTGTTTCAATTCTGCCCATGGTCGTTTGGCCCCCAAGGCATTCCGCAAGACATGTGCTGCCACGCCATCCATGATCTTGGTGGCTCTGTCAGCCAGTCTGTCATGCCATACTCCATGAGCAGCAAGGAGTTCCATCAGTTGTCGCTGCAATGGAAGATCAACCTTGGCACCACCAATGTGCAGTTCGATGACCACTTCATCATGTTTCGAGGTGGCAATCAAATGTTTGGCAAAGAGGTGTCTCCATTTCTCTGCACTCAGTGGGGCGAGTGGTTCGATCTTCTCTTCTGCCAGCGATGCCATGATCCAGGCGAAGGCCTGGAATCCACAATCACCGTGAAACGACTGCGGCAACATCTTCTGTGTGGCTGTCATGGTGAGTCCATTGGCTGCTGTGATGTCTTGAATGGCTTCCAGGAAAGGTGACCCTTCAGGCGTCGTGGCAACTTGGATCGTGCTACCTTGCTTTCGGATTATGATGGGTACCCAATGTCTGCTGACGATTGCTGCTGTGATCCATGGTCTATCTGGAGTGACCCATTCAACTGGTTGTTGGAGCCAAACGCTTGCTTCGATCTTGACTGCGGTATCATTGAAGAAAGTTTGTGGTGGCAAAATGCTCACTTGGGCGAATTGTTTGGCTGCAGTCATGTAGAAATCCATTTCGTCCTCGGCAACCCAAGAGGCTTGTTTCCATAGTGCCAGGAGTCTTTGGCATGGGAGCGGGATTTCCGGTTGTGAGTTTTCTCCAGTGATCATTGGGCATTTGTGATCACTAGGAAGTCTCGGGTGCAGGATGACCACCTGCTTATCAGTGAGGGGCTCATGGAGTGGTAGGTGGGTCCCTACCCATGACCTCGGTGCAATCGGTTGGTCCATGCTCCCAAGCTTGGCTTCTGCCTGTGTGATCATACCTGAAGTTGTGCCAATGGGGCACTTGAGCATGAGGGGAGACAAAGTGTCACTGGTTCCTACCCACGTTCTGATATGTCGTTTGGCTTCAGATCCTGCGATGCTGCTAACGCTGGTTGGTGCCTGCTCTGTGTTGGTTTGCTCGATCAGTTGATCACTTTCGTGTTTGGCTGCTTCAGGGTTCTGCTTGTCATCAGCTCCTATGGTGTTGACACAGTTGTCAGGTCCATGTACCAGCTTTGTGTTGTCTTTTCCACACGTTGGCTTGCTTTTCTTTGTAGCTGGTTCCCATTCTTTGGTGGCTTGCTGTGCTGATGTTGCTTGCATAAGGCTTCGTTTTTTCCCGGCTTTGGTCTCAAACCCTATCACTCCACCATTGGTTGGTACATGTACCTCACAGGATGGAAAGGCATGGTGAATGGTTGGCTCTATGAGTCCGGCATTCTGGTAACCCGGAGTCGCCGTCATTCCGGGAGGTGTTGGGTCAACATCTGAGTTGGATGCAGCATGGGGGCTTTCTGTTTTGGCACTGCTAAATGCGGCATTGCTTTCCCGGGCTGGTTGTCCTTCTTGGGGAAGGCTCTGAGTGGTCAACATCGGTTGAGGAAGCTTCCTGAGATCTTGGTTCATCGCGGCATTATGGTGTCCCGGAGTTGCCGCTATTCCGGGAGGCAATTGGCCAGTAAGGCAGGGTGCAGGTGGGGATGCATTGGCATGGCTCAGTTGGTATGTCATGGGGGCACCGACATGCTGCATGTATTGAACCTGAGTTGTTCCACCGGCATTCTGGTAACCCGGAGTTGCCGTCATTCCGGGAGCCATGAGGCCAGCATTTTGGGCAGGCTGATGTTCCTCAGTATGCAGCATGCTTGCCTTGTGTTCCTCCTTGTGAAGCATTGCATTTTGATATCTGGCATTCTGGTATCCCGGAGTCGCCGTCATTCCGGGGGCCAATGGGCCAGCATTGGGTGGGAAGGCATGAGTGGTTGGTGTGTTCTTGGTGCTGCCTGGACATGGTCGATGGACATAACCCCCATGACTACTCAAGAAGGCGGACTCCAATGCTTGGTCAATGGAACTTTCTTCCATGGCAATCTTTTCATCTTGTGAGGATACGCCTACTGCTTCTTTGCTTTCATGCCTGGGCTCCGTTTTGATCACAAATTGGGCCGAGAGACATGGGGTCTCCTCCTCAGGCTTTGGATCAGGCAATACACCAGGGGCAGTGCCTGGGGCTCTTTCGGCGTCCCTTTCGGATTGCTGTGGGCCAGATACTTGAGTTCCATCGGCTTTGGAGTCAACTGCATGACTGATGCTGGGCTGTTGACCTGGATCAATCATAGCATCATGTCTGGGGTCACCCTCGTGTTTGGACCTGTGATCGGCTGCATACGGTACACCAGAGTTCGGCTCTGGGGCATGGGTCTGCAAAGGCACTTGTGGTTGGTTCAGCACTGACGGTACACCAGGGTAGGGCCCTGGGGCTTGACAAGGCTCGGTCGGATGCTCGGATGCAAACGGTACACCAGAGTTCGGCTCTGGGGCATGGGTCTGCAAAGGCACTTGCAGTTGGTTCAGCACTGACGGTACACCAGGGTAGGGCCCTGGGGCTTGACAAGGCTCGGTCGGATGCTCGGATGTAAACGGTACACCAGAGTTCGTCTCTGGGGCATGGGTCTGCAAAGGCACTTGTGGTTGGTTCAGCACTGACGGTACACCAGGGTATGGCCCTGGGGCTTGACAAGGCTCGGTCGGATGCTCGGATGCAAACGGTACACCAGAGTTCGGCTCTGGGTGCAAAGGCACTTGTGGTTGGTTCAGCACTGACGCAGGGTATGGCCCTGGGACTTGACAAGGCTCGGTAGGATGCTCACCAGGGTAGGGCCCTGGGGTTTGACAAGGCTCGATCGGATGCTCGGATGCAGACGGCACACCAGAGTTTGACTCTGGGGCATGGGTCTGCAAAGGCACTTGTGATTGGTTCAGCACTGACGGTACACCAGGGTAGGGCCCTGGGGCTTGACAAGGCTCGGTCGGATGCTCGGATGCAAACGGTACACCAGAGTTCGGCTCTGGGGCATGGGTCTGCAAAGGCACTTGTGGTTGGTTCAGCACTGACGGTACACCAGGGTAGGGCCCTGGGGCTTGACAAGGCTCGGTCGGATGCTCGGATGCAAACGGTACACCAGAGTTCAGCTCTGGGGCATGGGTCTGCAAAGGCACTTGTGCTTGGTTCAGCACTGACGGTACACCAGGGTAGGGCCCGGGGGCTTGACAAGGCTCGGTCGGATGCTCGGATGCAAACGGTACACCAGATTTTGACTCTGGGGCATGGGTCTGCAAAGGCACTTGTGGTTGGTTCAGCACTGACGGTACACCAGGGTAGGGCGATGGGGCTTGACAAGGCTCGGTCGGATGCTCGGATGCAAACGGTACACCAGAGTTCGGCTCTGGGGCATGGGTCTGCAAAGGCACTTGTGGTTGGTTCAGGACTGACGGTACACCACGGTAGGACCCTGGGGCTTGACAAGGCTCGGTCGGATGCTCGGATGCAAACGGTACACCAGAGTTCGGCTCTGGGGCACGGGTCTGCAAAGGCACTTGTGGTTGTTTCAGCACTGACGGTACACTAGGGTAGGGTCCTGGGGCTTGACAAGGCTCGGTCGGATGCTCGGATGCAAGCACACCAGAGTTTGACTCTGGGGCATGGGTCTGCAAAGGCACTGGTGGTTGGTTCAGCACTGACAGTACACCAGGGTAGGGCCCTGGGGCTTGACAAGGCTCGGTCGGATGCTCGGATGCAAACGGTACACCAGAGTTTGACTCTGGGGCATGGGTCTGCAAAGGCACTTGTGGTTGGTTCAGCACTGACGGTACACCAGGGTAGGGCCCTGGGGCTTGACAAGGCTCGGTCGGATGCTCGGCTGCAAACGGTACACCATAGTTCGGTACACCAGGGTAGGGCCCTGGGGCTTGACAAGGCTCGTTCGGATGCTCGCATGCAAACGGTACACCAGAGTTCAGCTCTGGGGCATGGGTCTGCAAAGGCACTTGTGGTTGGTTCAGCACTGACGGTACACCAGGGTAGGGCCCTGGGGCTTGACAAGGCTCGGTCGGATGCTCGGATGCAAACGGTACACCAGAGTTCGGCTCTGGGGCATGGGTCTGCAAAGGCACTTGTGGTTGGTTCAGCACTGACGGTACACTGGGGCTTGACAAGGCTCGGTCGGATGCTCGGATGCAAACGGTACACCAGAGTTCGGCTCTGGGGCATGGGTCTGCAAAGGCACTTGTGGTTGGTTCAGCACTGACGGTACACCAGGGTAGGGCCCTGGGGCTTGACAAGGCTCGGTCGGATGTTCGGATGCAAACGGTACACCAGAGTTCGGCTCTGGGGCATGGGTCTGCAAAGGCACTGGTGGTTGGTTCAGCACTGACGATACACCAGGGTAGGGCCCTGGGGCTTGACAAGGCTCGGTCGGATGCTCGGATGCAAACGGTACACCAGAGTTCGCATGGGTCTGCAAAGGCACTTGTGGTTGGTTCAGCACTGACGGTACACCACGGTAGGGCCCTGGGGCTTGACAAGGCTCGGTCGGATGCTCGGATGCAAACGGTACACCAGAGTTCGGCTCTGGGGCATGGGTCTGCAAAGGCACTTGTGGTTGGTTCAGCACTGACGGTACACCAGGGTAGGGCCCTGGGGCTTGACAAGGCTCGGTCGGATGCTCGGATGCAAACAGTGCACCAGAGTTTGACTCTGGGGCATGGCTTGGGGGATGCATCGGATCTGGCTTCATGTCATGCACGTTTCCAGGTGAGGCATTTTCACTTGTGATGCATCTTTCTGGAAAAACCTGATCAAACCTCGGTACACCAGCGTTGGTAGCTGGGGCATGAGTCCTCATGTGATCGGCTGTCTCGGACGTGTCTGGGATGTCCTCGGATGCATTCCTCATGTGATCGGCGATCTCGCATGTGTCTGGGATGTCCTCGGATGCATTCATTGCGGGTGTCAAATGTGCAATCGGTACACCAGGTGCTGTGCCTGGGGCTTTGGCAGACGGCGGAGGAAGATACACACTTGATTCCCCTTGCTGGTTAAGTGATGCCATATCAAGTTTCCTTTGGTTGACCATGTTTGTGAAAGACACAGCATCTTCACCCTTTTGGACCCCAAAAACTTGATCACGTTTGGTGAGTAAATCCCTCATCAGATCCAAAAGGAAGTCAATGGGGGTTTCTTGTACTGATTCACCAAACTTGGACTGCAAATGACAAACGATGTGCGCCCCTACCCAACACGACTGAATTGGAGATGCCAGCTGTCCCAACGCACACAGCGTGAAACGGGGTGGTTCCTTCCATGGCATGCCAGGAAACATTCCATTCAATAGGGCCAACTCATCAGGGTGAATGTGTCTCATGTTTTGGTAGATGTTGTTTCCACATTGTGACATCCCTGGAATTTGGATGAGTAATCGATGCAACCCACCTTTGGACAAACGGTCTTCACTGAAAGGGTATTTCCTACACCCACACGGGCATCCCGACAGTTGATTGCCACAACTATGGAGGCATGTTTTCATTTGACCCTTCCATGGTACCAAATTGGTGTCAACCCCGTAATAGGTGAATTTGCCCAATTCATAAAGGTCCAAAACCAGTTGACGCAAATCTTCATCATTGCACTGCAAAAACTGATCAAACAGGTTGGAAACCATTGGCAACGGGCTGACTTTTGGAAAAGGTTGCCATTGAATGTTGCCCAAGCTTGGATGTGACAACACACACCACCACCTCGTCCTTCTGGTTGGCCAAACATGATGTAGATCCAGTACCTGTTGGTGACTGCGGAATCCTGTGCATCGACAAAATGCTTTCAACGTGTCTTGAACCCACTGGCACGTCATGACCTCAGGGACACATTCCAGAATGGCAATTGCGAACCTACCTAAAAAGGTCAGTTTGAGCACTGCTGGCAATGTCATGGCACGACCATCACCTTGGGCTTTGCGGTCGCCCAACCGACTATACGGCTGGCATGCAATGCCTGCTGCAATTGTTCCTGCTGTTGGGGCCTGGTCAACAATTTGGCCTATGGAGCTTGTCTCACAGATGTCCTTACACAGCACTGGTGCTGGGCTGATGTTGGTTGCTAAGCGGAGCATCTTCTCATTCCAGTCACATTTGAGGCGGATCTTGAATCCTGCCGCTTCAAGGCCAACGCCTAAACATCCCATTCCTGCACAAAGTTCTACTGTGTCGGTGACTGTGGCCAGATTGATGTTGGGCCTGGGTATGCACCTAGATGATTCACCTGCTGATACCTTGACCTGTTGGCCAAACATAGCCACATTGACGTCTACCAGGAGCACCACTGTAGCATTGCTAGGTAACCTCCCTTGGTATTCAAAGCAAATCCCATACAACGCTGTTTTGAGTTGATGTCTCTCTTGGTTTTCATCAAAAATCACCACTTCAGCTAAGACAGTAATGAGACTCCGATCTTCAAACCAATCTTCCAGTTGAAGCGAAACCATTGCGTGTCGTGACTACCCAAATCGGCTGTAAATCAGCCTCACTCCCTGGAAAGTTTTGGGCCAGAGGCTATGAGTCAAAACCCTGGGACCCTAGGTACCCTACAATAGCAGGTTAATGGATGTTTATTTATTCCTCAAATATGATAGTAATATGTCATGTAGTAATAGGTTTTGACCCACCCCCATATTCCAAATGTATGCCTAACATCCTTCCTACGTACATATTATATATATATGTGTGCATATATACATAGATGCTGGTTCCAAAACGTACCCAGTGCGTGCCTGCAGGTTTCGTTTTCCACAGCAAAACGGCGACGTTTTCGCCTTCACTGACGCCGTGAATCGACAGTTTGTCCATGGAGTTCCACGGGAGTGTCATGGCTCCAGGTAGCGTGTGCATGTTGGAAGAATTGTGGGAAAACATGGGAATAAACCTCAGAATCCCATGGCGCGAATTTAAAGTATGACTTTCATGTGGCTATTCTTAGATGATCAAGGGCCTAAAAGTGGATGCGAAAAGGGTGGTTTGAACGGATGTAGAGGGATTTGTTTCATGAATGTTGGCTACTGCAATCTATTATTTATAGGATCATAATGGATCAATCTGGGTCATAGATCGATTTGTAGTCTTAGAGAACATACCGTACTACAAACCACGCAGAAATAAACATGTCGCTCTCAAGTCTTCACCCAGGACACCACTGATGTTCATTCACCGGTTGCACAGGGAGATCAGGACCAAACAAAACTTGTGATGCTCAGGAGCCGTGCAAAGTCCGTTGGCGCTTGCCGCCATACTCCTGGACGTGCTCTGGCGTAAAATGAGAAAATGGGGTGTCCACAAAATGGATCGTGTTTTGTAACATCACAAGACAATGGACAACCACCATGTCAAGTACGGAAATTTGCGAACTCAATGGGCAATGGTTCCATAGCAAACTGTTACTGTCAATTACCAGAGGGTAATGGCTGCGGGTAAGGGGGTCTTAAATTTTGACCTGCCATCCAATGGATGTATGGTATGTCTATACTCCTGATAGATCCTTATATATATATATGTCTATATATATGTATATATATATGTATATATATATAGTAGGAATAGTAGGAATAGTAGGCATAGTATAGTAAGTTTGGTTATGTTTGGCTAAACGCCATCAATCTTGCATACTGTTGTGTGTGTTTTTTTTGCCTCCGGAGCTGTGAACGCGTGCGAACAAGATCGGCCTGCATGTTAAGAACCTTCTTTTCTTATAGGGCATCAATTTTGAGACCGTTTGCAATCAAAACCGACTGGACCGACTTCTGTTGTGGGAATTGTTTTTGTCTAAAGGTTATACATTCCGGACCCTAAAGATCACTAAACACATTACGAATCATTACAAATCATTACAAAAGAAAACGCACAATTCAGTTGCTTGGGCGCCGCTTGAAAGTGGGCATTGGGACAGCACCCCTGCTCATAAATTTGCTAGTTGAGTGGATGGTACGTCGTTGCAAAAAGCGGTGCTGTACTGTTATGTACCTATGGGTGTTTTACCCCTAGAATCCACCCAAAACGCAGGCACGTATCTGATAGTTTCAACATAAAAAGGTAAAGTGCACAATGAGAGAATCTCATACCGTATGACTCAGAGCCAATTTGCATGTCCTGTTGCAACAGTGCCCTGAGGTATTTCAGTGATAGTTTGGGGTCGGCGAGATCAGGTTCGGTATGTCTGCCCAGTATCATGTGGGATGGGGTGAGTTTTGCCCAAAACATAAGGCCAAAGGGCGCAGGGGGTGACCTTTGGAGGTACCCTTCGATCTCCATGATGTTGAGCAGGAACAAATCCATGGATTCCAAAGTGTGATAGGAACAAGTACTGTACTTGCAAATATCGCTCACTTACCAAGTTCAGCCGAATCAATCCAATCGAGTGTACTTGTTGGATGTGGTCGCACATACCAACCTGCTTTTTCATGCGAAGGAGATATGGAAGGAAAAACCGCAAGACCTGCCAATCAACCTCCTTCCCTTGAATGTTTTGGAGTGCCCCGCCACGCGCGTGGGCTGCTAGGGACGAGGTACTGCTGAAACGTCCGCAGCTTGGGAAAGGTACGATCCTGGCCAAGATGATCGCAAGGATTTTGGTGACAGGACCACCTGAAGTTTCTGAATATGTAGCCTATCTTTGGAACTGATAGTGGGATATAGATGGATATAGTGGGTTGTTGCTGCAGTATCTGAGTTTAGGACCCACAAACAAGGGGGACCCTTCAAGTTTTGTATACTTCGGACAGGTTTTACCGCTTTACCTCTCAGGAGGGATCTGTCAAGCTTTCCTGAACCTTTTGGAATGAGCGACATTTTGAAGAACTTAGGGATTGCCATGGATTGCCATTCACGGACACTTTTCCAAGACGGATAAAGAATTCAAGAATGTTTCTTGCTACGCCGCCAAGCCGCTTACCGAATACAGGCAGGTAGCCGCAGAGCATCGCAGAGCGCAATTGTTGCCATGTCTTTGCTGTACCTGCTGCTCCAAGTGTCGCTGGTTGTAGCAAGCCCGCAATGTGAAAAACACAGCAAGGGCAATGTCATGCTGCAGCTGGGTATCTTGGCATCCACTGAGTCCAATATCTCAAACAGCATCCAATGTTGGCTACCCAAGGGTTCAGGTGTTCTCCCTTCTCCATCTCCGCTTTTTCTATCTCACAACCTTGACGAAGCAAGAACAGACATGAACACACGAATCAACAGGTGTTGTATGAATTTGTGGGATATATGATATGCGTTGATAGCCTCGTGATGTCCGCCGGCTGCAATCCGCATCACCTCTCAACTGCATGGGGTTTGGGGTTTGGGACATCGCTTGCCAACGGTGATGGAATCTTCACAGTTTTGTTCACATCTTCTATCCGATTCTATACCAAGCTGATGGGCATGGCATGGCATGGGATGGCATCGGTCAAAACATGTCAAAACTGGCACTCTGGGTAGTGAGCACAAAAGATATGGTAGATGGATCATCAACCCTCCAAAAATACGGTATCCTATTGTGGCATCCCCAAAGAAGTTGGATGGGGGGTCGTTCAGTTTTGCCATCATTTAGGACCCTACTTCAAGCTAGGTCAAAAGACGAGAACAACCGTGGACAGGAGGGCAAGAAGGGAATCATTGCAAGGCCTCGGGGCATTTGTCGAAAGCGTGTGCAATTTATTGTTGGCAGTTCAACTGGCATCATATCATTATCTCGTTTTTTTTGAAAGGCTGGTGTATCCAACAGATGTCTTGCATTCTTGGCACCATTTGGAACGTTTGGAACGTTAGAAGGGTGTGCTCCTTGCTGCATCCAGGAAGTGAGGTTCGTGAGTGGGAGGAGTTTGCTGGTCCCTTCAATCGTGTTTGTCGCGGTGCTGGCCCCACAGATAACAATCCTGCTTATTTTGAGGTGCGTCAGAAGATTCCCAGCATAGAAGCTTGCAAAGACTTGTGTGTGCAGGAACTTGGTCAAGAGGGATGTAAGGGTATTGAGTACAATTTCCTCAGCAAACGATGTGAGTTGTGGAAGCGGACGGAGGGCATTTGGGCCTTTGACTATCCCCAATGGGAGGGCTTCACCTGCCTACGCTACGGATGGCCTGGCAAATACCTCATCCCTGTCACTGGAGGCCTGAATCAGGCATGCCGTGGGCCTGGTGGCCAGAATTCAGAGAGTTTCTACGTTGTTGAAGCGGTTCGGCATATGGAAGACTGCCGCGCCCGATGTGTGGCCTCCAACATTTGTAGAGGCCTTGAGTACAGTAACTGGCTGGTGGTTTGGAACATTTTTTATTTTTCCCCACCTGCCAGGTGAGGGTTGTTAGATTTTATGTCAGTTGCCTCCTCCTGCCTCGTCCTCCTCCTCCTCCTCTCCTCCTCTCCTCCTCCTCCTGCTCAACCGCGACCCTCGACCACAGTGGTCTCTGTCGGACCTCAACCACGACCATCCACGCCCAGTGTTCCCTGCCGGACCTCAACCACGACCATCCCCGCCCAGTGTTCCCTGCCGGACCTCAACCACGACCATCCACGCCCAGTGTTCCCTGCCGGACCTCAACCGCGAGTATCCCCGCCCAGTGTTCCCTGCCGGACCTCAACCACGACCATCCACGCCCAGTGTTCCCTGCCGGACCTCAACCGCGAGTATCCACGCCAAAAGATATGCCACATAGAGTGCCAGAAGATATGCCAGATAGAATGTTAGAAGATATGCCAGATAGAATGCCAGAAGGAATGCCAGATAGAATGCCAGATAGAATGTCAGCTAGAATGCCAGAAGATATGCCAGATAAAGTGCCAGAATGTTTGCCAGATAGAATGCCAGCAGATTTGCCAGATAATATGCCAGAAGATATGCTAGATAGAATGCCAGATGGAATGCCAGAAGATTTGCCAGATAATATGCCAGAAGATATGCCAGATAGAATGCCAGATGGAATGCCAGAAGATATGCCAGAACATATGCCAGAAGATATGCCAGAAGATATGCCAGAACATCTGCCAGAAGATATGCCAGAACATCTGCCAGAAGATATGCCAGGTAGAATGCCAGAAGATATGCCAGATAGAATGCCAGATCGAATGCCAGAAAATATGTCAGATAGAATGCCAGAAGATTTGCCAGTAACAAAATGTATAAATGTCATGGTGGGGATCACACGAAGTAAAGTAATTCTATATATTGGGAATTATTGGGAATAATAATCCCATCTGACTAATATTTTTCGGAGGGGTTGAAACCACCAACCAGGTAAAGGCCGCTGCGAAATTTGGCATTCGGAGATAGCAACCACTGAGTCCAAGACTGGCTTCGAATGCTTGCGCTATGAGCCGCCAACTGAGCCAGAAGAGGACACAGATGAGCCGCCAGAGTGGGTAATAGAGCCACCACAACCGCCACCAGCGCAGCAGAGTGAGCCAGAAGAGGACACAGATGAGCCGCCAGAGTGGGCAATAGAGCCACCACAACCGCCACCAGCGCAGCAGAGTGAGGCAGATGAGGACTCAGGTGAGCCGCCAGAGTGGGCCATAGAGCCACCGGCACCAGCACAGCCCAAGCAGAAAGATTGAGACTTGAGTGGTATGGGTGAGGAGCTACAGCTACAGCCATTCCTCGCATGTTCCACTCAAAAATGCTAGACCAAGAAAATGATGAGAACATCTCAACATTCTATAGCCATTTTGAAGATGAAGATGGCCATGAGTATAGTTCTGGGAGATAGGGGGTGTGTCCGTGGGTCATCCATACTGTTCACTGCTAAAGCATCATTGACAATCTGAAAGTCACCCTTTATTGCCCGCTAGTGTTCATGGCCAGTAAATGCCTGTTTGGGCCAGAAGAGTCCTCCTGAATTGAAAAGAACGACGCAAAGGGCATCGTTGCGGACGCTTAATTGTTCAAGATGCTGCGACGGCTTTTTGCGCACGCATGCGGAGTAAAAAGGTGACATTGTCGGTAACATTCTCAATTCGCATCATGACTGGAGACACTCCACTGGGCATCTTGGGGCCATGCCGCGAAGTTTTTCTCCCGTGCAAGGAGATCTGCCAGGCTACTCCGGATTTGCTGCCGGCTGGTTCCACCGGAGAATCCCTGGTTGAGCATGCTTTACTGATCTTTAGTGCTCTTGGACTTGTGGGGTTTGCTATGGTCGATCACAATGCAGGGAGGGGATTTTTCTTGGCAATATTTGACATGTGCCTGATTTTTTTTGAGACACGTATGTAGAGCTTTGGGGGAAGGTAAAAACAGCTGTGAGGCAGCTAAATGAAAGAGGCTTGCCATGGCTTGCCCAAACCCTTGGCACCTTGGCATGGGTTGACGCTTGAAATAACTTGCAGTGGCTACTGTGGAGGCGTAGAAACATGTAGAAACCCCAGCCTGGGGCCATACTATGCATTTCGCCCATGGCTTGTCATGGAGGCATGATATTGCAAAGCTGACCGGCTACTGAGCGCTGCAAGATCGGTCCGATGGCAGCGGAAGCATTCCTTGGTGGAACATGACAGGGGGCAAGTTTGTCCTGGAGGTAGACAGCCTTCCTTTCAAGCGATGATCTTATTCTAGGTCATTGTTATCCACTTCTTGTTCACTATATATATATATATATACACATATATATATATATATATACATATTGTGATTTGTACATTCCAATGCCCAGGATGACAAGCACCTCCACTCTCGAGTGTCCTTTCTCAAGGCGTGTTGGCTCAGGCGAGCATAGGTGCGGGCAGGGTGGGCTCATACGCCCTTTGAGCCATTGTGTGCTGGTAGCAGGGTCTACCATTTTGGACCGGGGTGTCCTTGCAGTTTTCTCTGGAAAGAAGGGTTCGAGCCCAGCCGATACCTGTGCCAAGTGTCCGTGAACATAGCACTTCTCAGCTGGCATCGTGAAAACAACAGTTGGTGGGACGTGCAGTGGAGCGGGAACAGACTGATCTTTTGGTGGAACTGATTTATTCATTTTACAACTGATTTGTCTTTGAGCTGCCATTCATTTCATCAACTGGTGTTGCTGCCATTTACATTGGTAGCGGAGCCCCCCGCAAAGGGGGGTATCCGGGAAAACTATGTCATCGACTTCCGATGCTGGAGGTTCAGGTGTCAGCAATCAACTGTCGTCACTGGTTCCGACATTCGATCCTGCCACTGATGATCTTTTGATTTATCAGCAGAAGGTGGAATTGGTAGTCGCAGCATGGCCTAAGGGGAAGCTTCCAGAACTGATCACAAGACTGATTTTGGGGTGCAAAGGCACGGCATTCCAAAAGTTGCAGATACATCAGAGCGAGCTTCTTCGAGGAGATGAAGGTAGTGTCAAGAAATTGATAGAATACCTGGGGAGACAGTGGGGCAAAATTGCCCTAGAACGCCAATATGAAGATGCAGAGCAGGCTCTGTATCATACGATACAGAAGCCAGACGAGGCAAACGACTCCTACTTGGCCAGAGCTGACGTGATGTGGAGCCGACTTTTGGCCCGACAGATGACGCTGGATCAGATCCAAGCGTACGTGGTTCTACGAGGATCTTTGCTGACGGCAGATGAGAAAAAACGAGTGATCATGGACAGCGAAGAGTCTGGAACTCTCACTATGAAGCGAGTACATGAGGCCATTAGGGTCCTTGGGGCGAGTTTCTTCAATGAAATGACCGGCCGCAAGGCCACCCGGACGAAGATCTATGACAACACGACCTTCCTGACGGAGGCCACCACCGACCATGCCGCAGTTGCAGAAACAGATATGGGAACCAATTTGAATGATGATCAAGCAGAAGCTGATTTCTTGGAGGTTTTGATCCAAGAGGGAGACCAAGATGCGTTGCTCATAGCTGATTTTGAGGCAGCTGCTCAGGAGACGGTTCAGGATGATCATGAGTTAGCAACGGCATTTTCAGCATATCAGCAAGCTCGACATCGGTTGGGTGAAAAGTTTCGCAACCGTGGATTCTTCCCTGCAAAGCCATTTGCTGGAAAAGGAAAGGGGTTTGGTGGCAGACCTTTTGGAAAGGGGAAGGGATATGACAATCGTCCCAGACTCTGCAGGAACGTATCATGTCCTCAATATGCAGACTGTGTGGAGTTCGCGGACATTGGAAGGCAGAATGTCCGTTGAAAAATCAAGGAAGTGCCAACTCATCAGAAGCTCAGACTGCTGCTCCGACCTCTACTGTGATCACTACCGCCAGCAGCAGTAGCTTGCCGCTCGAGTTCCTTGAGTTACCTGAGACCTCCATAGATGAGCCCAAGCCAAGTTTAGCCGTCTGTTTTACTTGTGAACCAGGTTTTGATAAGAACAGATATAGTTACAGGGGACGTATTCTTGGGGAATCACACAAAGGGAACTATGATCTGAATTTTGGTTTTAGCAGGTTCACAGCCAAAGAACGTTTGCGCAGCCATTTTGTCAGGACTGAAAGATGCCAGATGCCGACCCACGATGCCAGAATGAGCGACACCCGGAGTTTTCAATCCGTGAGTGCCAGATCCGTTCCGTCCAGTCATGCCAAGGTCATTTTGACTAAGGTGAACAGTGACGTAGCTGCTGCAAAAAGGGTGAGTAATGTGGCAACTCACCAACCAATACCAACTAGCCCAGTGTGTTTTGCAACTCATGATGCCTACGGAGTACTTGACCTTGGCGCCTCAAAGACTGTCATAGGATCAGAACATGTGAAGGGTTTAATTCAGAGCCTGGATGAGGAAACCCGTTCTCAATTGTCCCGTTGTCCCTGTGAAGTCACCTTTAAGTTTGGTAATCAGGGTACTCTGACTAGCAGCCAGGCAATTGTGGTACCCATAGGCAAACTCCGACTCAAGATAGCGATCGTGAAAGGGGGAACACCCTTCCTCATCAGCAACACTTTCATGCGAGCCATTAGGGCCAAAATCGATTGCTTTTCGCACAGCCTGTCAAGCCCGATGCTGAATCATGCCATACCATTGGAACTCACCGAAAGAGGATTGTTTCTACTTAATTTGAACGATGTTGTGAAGGCCGCCATGAGTCAGCAATCCTGCGGAAGCCCCGACACGAAGCCTGTCGAAGCTACCTTCCTGAGCACTGAAAAATCCATTGCCGCAACAGCTGCTGAAATTTTGAATTCCGACAAGCCATCCTTTGACAGAATCCGTGAGTCCAAAGGAATTTCAAGAGGCGACAGGTATCCAAGTCTTAACATCCGAAGCCAATGTTGACCAGGAGATGAATGGTGACCACCGTGAGCCCACGGTCCAAGATCCCTGCCGAAAGCCTGATCGAACTTTACTGTCTAGCCATGTCTCTCCTTGCCCGCCTGAAGGCTGTTCAGACCGAAGTGGAAGTGCCGCTGACCGACTTGTCTCAGTTGACACTCGCAGAGCTGAAGACAGAGGTGGTCACCTTCGGACAGAAGCACCAGGGGGAAACGTACGAGACGGCTTGGGAGGATCAAGGCTGGATCAACTTCATGGTGTCGAAGTATGGAACCAGCAAAGTCCCTCAGCCATCGCCGCCTGATCAGGTTCGTGGAGTTGATGGTGGAGCACCACGAAAGAACGAGCACCCGAGTGCCTGTGCTGCCCCCACCGGAATCGGTGCCCGGAGGCTACGCCCTGATCGGCGAGCTTTCTGGACGCAGATCCACCCGAGCCAAGGCCAAGGCCATGAGCACAGTTCCATCTGGGGTCACAGAACCCATTCCACTGGACCAGGACGAAGAGCAGGAGTTCGAGATGTTCAACCAGGGGACTACGGCCACGACTCCTCTCCATCAGGATCCGGAGTTCACTGCACTTCAGGATCGTATCCTGAACATGGAGAACGCTCTGGGCCGCGTGATCAAGCACCTGGAGGACCAGATCGAGAAGCAGTAGACGTGAGTGATCCCGAAAGTGAGACGGTAGCCGAGTCATGTCTGGCCATGCACCAAGATGTTCAGGAACTGCATCAGATGATCCAGAAATTCACTCAGGAACTTGAAAGTGTGTTATCATCCAGCAAGCCATTAGGGAAACCTTTCATGATGGGTGAAGTGTTTTGCAGTGATGCATCACCTCTGACGCAGCAGGTCCTGAACATGGGACATCAGGCATTTAGGTTTGGCCTTGCACAGGGCGATCTTTCAACCATCGGTGGCCGGCAGAAGCTATTCCAGATGATAGCCAGTCATAGACCGAAGCATTTATGGTATAGTCCAGTTTGTGGTCCATGGTCGTCTTGGTCTGCCCTAAATGCCAGTAGGTCTTTGGAGTCGCAATGGGAGTACCAACAACAACGTAGTGATTTGCGATATCAGATTGCCCTAGGTGTTGTTCTGTATCGATATCAAGTATCTAGGGGATTACACTTCAGTTGGGAGCAGCCCCAAAAATCGTTGATGTTGCTTCACCCAGGTCTCAATGAAATTCACCAGCATACCCAGGTAAGCCAATTCGACATGTGTGAAGCCGGTGCACTCAAAGATCCTGTCAATCAACTCCATATGAAGAAGGGAATGCAAGTAGTCACTACTCATGAGCCCCTGTTTCGTGCACTCCATGGTCGAACATGCAAGAAGAATCACGATCACCAACACCTTGAGGGATCGACGCAAATTCATGGTCACTCAATCCTCCGAACCAAGTTTTCCGAGATCTATCCCCGAAAATTTGTGAGACTGGTTGCAAAAGTTTTGTGCCAACGTGGTCACCACTGGCCGTTTCAGTGGAAAACTGGCCTTGCCCTGTGTCAATGCAATTCTGGTGATCCGACACCAGGGCTTGCAGCCAGCCAGAAGCGTTCCACCGTGAGGCTTTCACGATACCGAGGCCGTGACAGCTTTGCCCGATCTCAACTGTCGACGCCGGAAGAGAGTGATGAAGCCGGTGTGAAACGAAGAAGACTAGAAGGAAAACAAGGTCCCATACCCACCATGAAGGATTGTCAAACTGTCTTTCAAGAAATCCAACAAATACTACCCCGAGTTGGGAAACGAGAGATTCAAGATTCCAGCATTCTTCAACAACTCCAAATAATATTTCCAGATCGTCAAGTGATCACAGCTGTTGCATGCAGAGGCACTGATCGGACCATTCCTCCCCCTGAACATTTACATAAGAGTCAAGCCCCTTTTCGTAAGACACTCATGATTCTCCGACCGTCAGGGGATATCAGGTATGAAAAGGAATGGGAATGCTGGTCAGATCTTTCCAATCGACAAATGATCAGGCCCGCTCATCCGTGCCGCATCAACATTACTGTTTTTGCCAAAGAATTTGAATCTGAGATCACCCCAGGTCAATCCAGCACTCATCCGACCCCGACAGTAAATCGGGAGACTGGTGCCCTTGATGATCCGATGCCAGCCAATCCCGAGATTGTGAGTTTGCAGCCCATGCACCCGTCACCACAGAATGGCGAAGTCCATTCACCACGTGTCACTACGACTCCGGACTCTGAGAGACCCGAGCAACTGGCCCACCGAGAAGTTTGCAGACATGATCAGGGTTCCTATTTCCATGCGCTCCCAAAATGGGAACAGAACCAACTGATACAGATTCATAAGAATCTAGGTCACCCTTCCAATGAACGACTTGCCAAGGCACTGCAATCAAATGGCCAGAGACCGGAGATGGTGAAAGCTGCACTCGAGCTCAAATGTGGCATTTGTGCCGCCAGTTCCGCTCCCAAGCATCAAAGACCAGGACGACTGAAACCACTTCTTGATTTCAACCATAGAGTCTATGTTGATGGAATCAAGTGGACGAATAAGAATGGTCAAAGTTTTCAAACGTATCATGTCGTAGATGCTGGGACACACTTTCATGTTGCCTTCACTGCCCCTGCGCACTCGACCAGAGATGCGATTACCCTGCTGAACCAGCACTGGCTGAATTGGGAGGGAGCCCCACAGGAAATGAAAGTTGACTCTGGTACCGAATTGAACAGTGATGAATTCCAACAATTTCTTCAGAGGTTTTCCATTCGGTGTACCACGATAGCTCCCGAAGCACATTGGCAGAACGGCACCATAGAACGCCATGGAAGTTTTCTACAACAAATGCTATCCAAAGTGGACCTAGAGATACCCATTGAAAATTATCATCAATTGCAATTGGACCTGAACCAATGTTGTCAATCCAAAAATAGCATGATGGTAAGACATGGTTACAGCCCTGAAATCATGGTTTTTGGTAAGCAGAGCCGACTCCCAGGTTCCGTGCTCAGTGATGAGTCACTGCCGGCTCATACAGCTGCCATCCAGGAAAATTCAGAGTTTACAGCAGAGCAGTTTCGCGATCAACTCAGGCTTCGAGAAGTGGCAAGACGAGCCTTTCACACAGCCGACAATAGCGATGCCTTGCGGAGAGCACTGCTTAGAAGATCATGTCCATCTAGGGGTGTATATCATAAGGGCCAATGGGTAATGGTTTGGAGAAATACGGGTCCCCAGAAACAAAATTGGATTGGTCCTCAAAGGGTCATAATTCAAGATGAAAACCACACGATCTGGACTACTCAGGGAGGCAGACTTTACCGCAGTGCACCAGAGAATGTCAGATTGTCACTTCCTGAAGAGGGCGAACCCGGTGGACCTGATTTGCCCGAAGATTTGACTCAAATTCAACAGCAGATCAATCGCATTTCCCAACATCCTGAAGCCATGCAATCAATTCCCGAAAACGAACCACTTGAACCTGACATTGATGCCACGTTACAAATACCAGAGAAGACCACCCTGTAGCTGATTCCGAGTCAAGTCGTCGAGACAGCACTGCCAGTGAAACCACCATTCAGCCAGATCAAGAACCTGAAACGTTAAGCCGTCAAGAGACTCATCATCCTGATGAATCTCCAACTGATCATGCCGAAACTTTCCTTACGTGTGCTGAGGATGAATGCGTGCTGACAAACAGCAATGACAATCCTCTTGCCTGGAAGTGTGAATTCGACATCACAGTGCCAGAAACAGTTGTGAAACAAGATCTCACCCCAGAGGAAACCTGGATTCTTGTAGCCACAACTTCAAAGAAACATCGATCTGAAGTCCGACTGGCCGAGCTCACACCCAGTGAACGTGAGGAATTTGCTGCTGCCAAGCAAGTTGAAGTGAACAACTGGATCAAAACCGAGACTTTATCAGTAATGCTGCGTGACCAGATTCCCCCCGATCAAATCTTAAGATGTAGGTGGGTACTCACATGGAAACCATTGGACGTAGCTGAAGGGGGTGTAGATAGCCAAAACCTCAAACAACATAAGGCCAAAGCTAGGATTGTGGTACTAGGATACTTAGATCCACATCTTGATGAAATTCCCCGTGATAGCCCCACTCTTGGTAGATCATCCCGAATGGTAATCCTTCAAACGATCGCTTCACATGGATGGCACTTGCAATCCTTCGACATCAAAGCAGCTTTTCTCCAAGGACAACCGCAGAAAGACCGTTTAATCATAATTGATCCTGTGCGTGAACTTCGAACAGCCATGAAAATGCAGCCTTCCGAAGTAGCTAGACTTCATAAGGGGGCCTACGGTCTAATCGATGCTCCATATCTTTGGTATTGCGCATTGGTTCAAGAATTGACCAGGTTAGGCATGGAATCTTGTCCATTCGATCCTTGTGTCTTTATACTTCGTGAAGATTCGTTCACTCCAAGTGATGATCAGCTGAGACCTTCCAACGCTAATCCTGCCACTGGCCCGATTGTTGGAGTACTTGCTGTCCATGTGGACGACGGCATTTGCGGTGGAAATGAGCAATTTCAGCATGTTATTCAACTTTTGGAACGAAAGTATCCCTTTGGAGCCAAAAAGATGACTTCCTTTACTTTCACTGGTATTGAGGTAAATCAAGATCCCAGTTTTAACATTACCCTCAGCCAATCCAACTACATCCGCAAAATCAGTCCAATCCCTATTGACATTAACCGTAAATCCCATCCTGAACAACCCGTCAATGATGAAGAACGTGGGCTTCTTAGAGGATTAATTGGGTCCCTGCAATACGCCTCTACAAATACCCGACCAGATCTTTCAAACAGATTATCTACCTTACAGTCACAGATCAACAGTGCTCAAGTTGAAACTATCATGGAAGCCAACAGACTCCTTCATGAAGCAAAGAAATACCACGACACTACCATCACTATCAAATCCATACCCCATGATGATCTTCGGTTCATGGTATTTTCAGACGCCTCATTTGCATCCAGTTCCGAACCCTACTCATATGCCGGTAGCATAACTGTAGGTACCCACCGAGACATATCCAAAAATGTTGAATGCCCTATCAGCCCTTTGATATGGGGAAGCAAAAAGATCCAAAAAGTAGTAACTAGCACGCTTTCAGCAGAAACCGTTTCCATGGCATCCGCCTTGGATCAATTAAGTTGGCTGCGGTTATACTGGAAATGGCTCCATGACCCCAAGACTCAATGGCATCGACCCGAAGATGCTCTTATGAAGGTTGAACCAGCCATCTCAGTTGCCACATTGCCTTCGACCGCAGATGTTGCAGTAACTGACTGCAAGAGCCTGCATGATCTCATCACTCGTACTGCTCCTCCGCAGTGCTCTGAGTTCCGTGTCCAGCTTGTTGCCAGGGCCATCAAGGAGACTTTAAGGGAAGGTATTAACTTGAGATGGGTCCACACAGGAGCCCAACTAGCAGATGCACTGACTAAAGCGATGGAAGCCAGATTTCGCAGAGAGACCCTCAAACATGGTTCTTATCGACTTTGTGATGAAAATTCAATGTTGAAAGAACGCGCCAAAACTCGTGACAGAATCAAATGGCTCAAACAACAAGGATCCAATTCAGAGAACGATACATTCAATAACAATCCTACTTCACATGCAACTTCACTTGATACAACCAATTCTCAATAAATTTCCCTTTTACTTTCAAAAAAAAAGAAATTTTGGGAGTGTGATTTGTACATTCCAATGCCCAGGATGACAAGCACCTCCACTCTCGAGTGTCCTTTCTCAAGGCGTGTTGGCTCAGGCGAGCATAGGTGCGGGCAGGGTGGGCTCATACGCCCTTTGAGCCATTGTGTGCTGGTAGCAGGGTCTACCATTTTGGACCGGGGTGTCCTTGCAGTTTTCTCTGGAAAGAAGGGTTCGAGCCCAGCCGATACCTGCGCCAAGTGTCCGTGAAAGCACTTCTCAGCTGGCATCGTGAAAACAACAGTTGGTGGGACGTGCAGTGGAGCGGGAACAGACTGATCTTTTGGTGGAACTGATTTATTCATTTTACAACTGATTTGCCTTTGAGCTGCCATTCATTTCATCAACTGGTGTTGCTGCCATTTACAACATATATATATACATATATATATATATATTATATGTATAGTATATACTGTAAGAATTTGTAAGATCTGTAAGATACCCCGCTACATGTAGGTAAGGCACATTCATGCCATGCCCAGTTTGCGTAGGCCATTGACTGGGGTGATTTTTCACAACATGTTCAATTTTTTCACAATTTCGCTCAAAAAGTCAGATAATAAGTCAGCTTTGGGTTTGCTATACCCATAGGATCCATGTATGGTATATATGCTAACATATGCTAACATTGGGGGTATATTGATGCTAAATGTTACCATATATAGCAGCACCATGGATCCTATGGGATAAGATCCTCTGAATGTCTCTGAATGCCTTAACCTCGCGAACTGCGGTGTGTTTCCCTTTGCAGATCCATGTACAGTTGCCATTTCGGTGGTCCTGCTCCATGAACTTCTGAGAGGTGGATGATACGGAGGGTCAAAGTTATCAACCCCCAAATGAATAGTTGATATTGGTTAATATTGGTTAATATTGGTTGATATTGGTTGATATTGGTTAATATTGATTAATATTGGTAAATACTAAACACGACCCAATCTTGTGGGCTTTTTGACACTCTGATTTTGAGCCATACCAAATAGATATAGGTTCAAGATGTTTCAAGGAGGACCTTGTTGGATTTCCAGTGCACGGGAATCAGCTTTACAGATCTCGTCACTGTTGTAACTCAGGATTATTGCATGCAGTAGTCATTGCAAAGGTTTGAACTTAAACTTTCCCAGCAAACATCATGAACAACACTTTCCACACTTAAATTTCTTCTGTTAGACTTGGTGATTTTGTTCGGTGGTCCAGATGGAAAAACAAACGGATTCCGCAGATCTCAGGTGTTCCTGGAAGAGGATTCGACAATTTGTACAGGGCAGGAAGGAGACCTTGCAAGGAAAAGCTGCCATGGCTGCCATGGAATTTTGACAGAGTATGGTTATAATAAGGAGCTACACAATACAAATTCTCCAGAGTTGTTTTATATTGTTTGATATGGCAATCCAACAGTCAGTGATAAACTTCAAGCGGCAGCTACTTAGGACTTGTACCACATAATAATATGTTAGTGAGTTCAGAATCTTGTGATCAACCCCCTTTACTGTTAACCACATCATTTTGATGGAGTACCCCTCAATCGCCGGACTCTTTGGAGGCTTCGTAATCTCCAAGCACCGCTGAAAAGCGAAGCGTTCACGACCAGCGTTCATTCCCTTAGATACCAAGATGAGAAGAATTCTGACGCCAGGACATGAACCGTGAAATTTGGGCTTTCCAGCCTAGCCTGATATCAGCATTGCACGCGTTGTGTCACCATGGCACGCTTAGTCGCTGCTGTGCCCTGCTCCCAGCTGGCCACCAGACAGCAAGATTCTCTGCAGGCGCAGTGCTGCACAGCGCTGTAATCCAGGATGAAGTTGAAGCACGAGGGACGATTTACCAATTGAAATGCTAGATTTCTATAGATTTCTTTGGGTGATCATTGGTTCCTGACCTTCGGTGCAGGCCATTGTGAACAAGCACGTCCAGGATCCAGCTTGGAGGACCCAGTACTTGCTCAAGCCCTGTTGGGAAACATGTAGTCTCTACCAACCCGGAGAAAGCACGCAGATGCTTGTGAGAAAAATGTAGCGGTGGCGGTGGCGGTAGATCCGCGCTAGATCTGCACTAGCACAAGCTTCGCAGAAGAGACCATGCCCCATTTCGATGCTTCATGATGCTTTCATTTTGTAACCGAAATATAGTTCAAAAAGATGGAGATGCATACAGAGAAAGAGAGAGAGAGAGAGATAAGGAGAAAAAGAAGAAGAAGAAGAAGCAGAAGCACCCGTCTCCAGAAAGGCAATGCTGAAAGTAGCTCTAGCTTTTCCAGCATTTAGGCAGGGAAAACAGAATACGGGTAGTTTATTTTTCAATTTATGGCACAAGAAGAGCGATTCAAATCAGAAACATATATACAGTATATACAATTATATACATATTATATAATATCATCCCATGGAACGGTAATGAAAGGACTACTGTAAATGTCAATATGCCAAATTCATGTCCAGGCAGAGGACAAAAGTGTTCTCAGCTACGTGACTTGGGTGTAGGTCAAACATGGGATACCACATAGACCCACAAAAGGTTTGCCATTTTCAAGGTCTGACATGTTGTCTCAAACTTGGGTATCCTCAAAATTCCTCGAATCCCATGGTTTTTGGAGGCTAAATCCCACATTTTGGCCCAGACCCCCATGACACTTGGGACTCAGGCTTTGAGGGAGCTCAACTCCTCTCAAACTTCCACAGAGAGGGGTGTGCAGCGATGGGAGCAGGCAAATTCACTTTGGTCAGATAGTAGAGGGAAGGCCGCTATGCAATGCTATACACCTGTGTATCTAGTATATCGCATGCAGGA